TAAACATGACCAGTAAAAGATCATATAATTTCTAACTCAAATAATACTATTATTGTGATTTAGCCATGCTTATGAAAATATGATATACAATCATACATGTAATTCTGACAAAGTGAGAGAAAAACAGATCGACTCCCGTTTTTTTTTCTTTTTTATCACGTCTATTTCAACTGAATTTTTGTTTCTGGAAGACTGAACGGCTACGTTGTTTGACATGCATCCACAGTCGATGAATGTTTTCATTATGTTATTGAATATGCTTAATAAAACGATCAAGAGTACTTCTTCAACACTTGAAAATGAAGTTTATTATTCAAAAAATGTTCTACTTCCTATATACATACCTCTGTAAACAATGATTATATCTATATTCAAAAGGAAAAGAATTACTATGAAACTGTTTGACTCTCAGTTTTAATTTTATTGCATAAGAGAAAAAATAAATACGTTCTTTTTTCTTGTCTAAAAAAAAGACAACGCATCAAATTACATAAGTACAGTAGTATCAAATGAACTAAAACTATCATGTATTCGTTGATTTCGAAATAAATCTTGTTTATTTTTAATTCCGATAGCTCCACGTAATAAAGAACTATGTTGTGAATTAGCAGCGATTGATTTTGTTTTCGATTGTATTGACATACTTTCTGGTTCTAAATGTCGTCTTAATTGTTCATAATAAAATGGACGCATACTTTCAATGCTAGTACGTTCATCAGGCTAAAAACAAATGTATGAAAATAAATTACTTTAAAATCAAATGACATATATATTACTGTTTGTATAAGTCGTGTTACTAAAATTCTTGAACCATCAGGCATTTTTTTTGAGTAATTTGATTGTTGTACTAAACGTTCTTTTCGTGAAACTGATTGTTCAACAATTAACATTATTTTTGCCCATTGACGAAGCCATTCTTTTTTTCGTTCATTTACCATAGCATATGTATTACCCATCACTAAATAAAATTCATATATCAATAAAAACCAACATTTTTTAAACATACTAGCAATAAGCATATTAACAAGAAGTACTGCTGCTATGACAATATAAGTGACAAACCATATCTAATATATTAAATGAAAAAACTTCTCAATGCAAAGTCTTCTGTTTATTCTGCTTACTTTTCCAATAATTTGAATGCCAGTAATTGGATGTCGATTTAAATTTTCATAAGCATCTGTAACTTGTTGAAGTGTAACACAAAACATATGGAAAAATGTTTCAATGACAGTTGCAAAATCATTTTCACAATGAATTCGAACAAATAAAACATGAAGTGCTTGTGTAAAACCAAACATAAAAACAAGAAATATTAAACAAAATCGTAATAAATCACCACGAATCATTGTATAGATCATTACAACAAATGGACCTGTTGAACGAAAACCACTTAAAAAGAAAATTCATAAAAAACAGAGAAATATTTCTTTTGTTTTTATCTTACCGACAAAAAAAGAAAAAATAAGGTGCTCGAGTAAGTATTGCAAATACACAAAGAACATCATCAACAATAATTGAACAAGTAAATCGAGCTGGTAACATTGCTAATGTTAATAAACAAGAAAAAAGAAATAATACTCTTGTTGGATCATTAACATATATAAATGAATCTAATTTAAAATTTTGATAAGAAAATTCTTGTATTGTAAACATAATATAGATCAATGCACCAATAACACTTAAACCATCAAAAATATTTAGAAGCTACAAAACAAAAAACAACTATCTTCTGTTTTCTTCATTCTCATTTGTCTTACTAAAGCCATTGGTTCAAATCGTTGTTTTGGATTTTCATCATTATGATTTATTCGTAAGCTGATATTTAGTACAGTTTGATTTTCATCATCAAGATATGGTTTATGCCATAGAAAATTTGCATAATGACATCTACATTCAATTCGATTAGCTATTATTGATTTTACTGTATTTTCATCTTTATCAAGTACTTCTTTTATGATACATGATGGTGGTACACGAAAATAACCACGAATAATTAATCCAAATAGACATATACCAAAATAAAAACTAAACATAGCCATACGCTGAAAAAATCTATAGAAGAATAGATTAATTTTAAAGAAAAACAAAAAAAAATATTTACTTGAATTTAATAAATGTACGCCATTTTTCATTTAATAATTGTACAATTAAACCATCCATCATATCCAAATGACCAGCAGATTCCTATAAAAATAGACCAAAATAGAGATTCATCTTGATTGATGCAAAATCATTTTTTTTTTTTGAATATTTTAAACTTACTCCACGAACAATAATATTAAGTGCACTTGTATCATTTAAAGAACCATCTTTTCCAATTGTATCAATATCATCTAATGGATAACCAGCACATGTTACATTTCCATATTGCCAATAGATTATACGAGTTTTTTGTAGAATATGATCAAATATCTAATTGAATTTTTAATGTTTGTTTGTTTGTCTATCTGTTTTTTTTTTTTATTAAAAGAACTTAATATTTTCTTACTTCTTTACGTGCTTTAACAGCTGCAAGTGTTAAAGGTGTTAAACCTTGTCGATTTTTTATATCTAACGATCCACCTAATTCATAAAGTAAATCAACCATACTCTATTCAACAAGAAAAAAAAAATAATTATTTACATTTCTCCTAAAAATCGATTTTGAGTGGAGTCTTGATAAAAAAAAGAAATAACAACTTACAATTCGATTATAAATAACACACATATGTAAAGCAGTATTTCCATTTGAATCTTGACAATTTGTATCAGCACCTTTAGCAACTAATAATCTTACTGATTCTTCTTGTTGTAAAACAGCCGCAAATGAAAGTGGATATTCGCCAAAATAACAATAACCTTCATAATTTGTTGCAACACTTACATCAGGACATTCTTTTGTTACATTATCCACTCTAACAAATAAAAAAGTAGTATTGAAAAAAAATCCGAAACATTTTCTTTTCGTATCTTACCGACTCGATTTTTGATCTTCTGGGCAAAAAAATTTTCCACAACATCTTTGTGTAAAATCAACACCATTATCAAGTAAGAATTTGACTGTCGCTGGTTCTTCATTTACAATTGCAATATGAAGAACATTTTCACCTGAAAATTTTCAAATAAAATCTTTAACATAACTAATCAATCGAACAACTCACCATAATATTCATCACCCATATATAAATCATCAATTAATCTTGGATAATATCTTAGAAGTCTTTTTGCTAAAGCTGAATGAACAGGACTTGATGAAAGAAAACAAATATGAAGAATATGTTCACCAACACCACCACGTAAATCAAGATCCCAACAAACACGTTTTGTTTCTTCAGCTAAAAAAAAAAAAAAATTTTTTTTCGTTTCAATTTTATACCATTAACAATTAACTATTTATTTGTTCATCATCAAATGTTTTAGCAGTTGGAACAATACTTTTTAATTTACTATATGTATTATTTCGTCTTTTAACAATTTCACTTATTGTAATCTGCAAAACAACAACAAATTTAGAATAAAAATTGATCTTTTTTTTTGTTTTAAAAAAAAAACTTTTACCAATTTTCCTTCACCATTATTATAAAGAAATCTTGGAATATGCTCATGAATAAGTGCATCAATTTGTGTATAATCTTTTGTTCGATTAGCTACACGCATAACATCAATAAATTCACCACCTCCCTAAGGATTTTTTTTTAATTTTTTCTCAAAAACAAAAAAATTATCGAAAATTTAATTTACTTTAAAATCAACAAATCGATAAAGTTCAGGACCTTGACCACCTGAATTTATCTGAGCTTTTACACCCGATGCAACTTCTGATGTTGTATTACCCATTATTGTCTACTAAAGACTGTTAAAGAAAGAAAGAACAAGAATAAACTGATGTCGATCGTGATTGAGCCGGAATATTCAATTGAATGTTTACCGGTGTTGACGGGAAAAAAGAAGAAGCAAAGAGTGAGAAGAAAATGGCTGAAAAATCATTGCATACTTGCCCGTAATTGGAGTAAGTGTTGTATTGTGTTAGAATAAGAGAGAGACGGAGACGTGTGAAAGTTGAACAAAAAAAAGGAAAAGTTTTTACTTGTCACCTAAAGGAGTTAAAAGAGAAAATGCGACGATCGATTAGAATAACGCATTAAAGGTTAATAACAATGTCTTGTTCTTGTTTTCTTTTCAGAAAATAAGTCCACTTTTGAAATATGACAGTAGGGGGGAAAAAAAGATTTTTTTTATCGATTAAATCAATGAAAGAGAAACCAGCTAATATTTGTTTTGCCATTATTTTCTTGTAAATTACTAGTAGTTCACAGTTTTTTAAGGTTTTTTTTTTTTTTTTTATAAAGAGAGATCAAGCGAACCTAAAGACGAGACGTTTGTGATCAATAAATACTCGCCGACATTTATTCGAAATAATATTGACTTTTTTTTTGTATATCACAAAACATAGAATGATCATTTTTAGAACTTGTTCTCTTAATCCTTCCTTGAAATTTCCGTTTAATTGAAGTATTGATTAAAGCAATATAATCACCTTGGGCCAAACAATAGATATAATGAAAAACAATTCTTGCTACTCGATTAATTATTTTCAATTTTGAGCTGCCCATCTAGTTAAACATATTTCTCAAGCATCGTTCGATTTACAATGTTGATCAAAACTCATTTCATATGATCAATGACATCAATTAGATAATATGTACATGAACACAGCAGATTACCATAGGAGGACATAGTAATTGATTCGACTTGGAAATTGAATATCTCAAGAAAGATATATTTCCTCGTGAGCGCTTTATAATTCAATTGAATATTTTTCTTGAAAACAAAATTTTTCTGATTCAAATATGTCAAACATTATTTTATTATTATATCTTCCTAAACTTGACAGATGAATTAAGCGAGACAAAAAAAAAAAAATAGGATCTTTTTTTTTTTTAATTTTTAGAAATTCAAAAATAAAAATACTGACAACAGATATTTTACAATAAAAACTAATATTGGAATGTTGATTATTAAATGTTTGTTTGACTGGAATATTTATACTAAAACAAAAAAAAAATAAAATTGTTTCGAAATAAAAACATAAATAAACAAACCATTTGATCTTGTAATAATTTAATTGTTTGTTTATCTTGTTCTCTTTCTTTACGTAATATAATAATTTCCTTTAAAACAATATTTCTTTTTATAGAAAAAAAAAAACAAAGAATAAATATTAATTTCCTTACTTTAACTAAATCATCATAAGAAGAATTTTCATCGATATTATATCGAAAATTACTTTCACCACCACTAATTGAATAATGTCTTGAACCGATCATAGATTCATGAAACGAACCAATCATTGAATCCTAGAATAAAGAATAAAATTTCTTTTGTTTTTTTTTTCTTAAATTAAAGATAAAAAAAAAAACTTACAGTCATATTAGTACCATCTGAATTTTTCAATAATCGATCAAGTTGATGAAGAATTGTTTTCACAACCATAACATCTTTCATTACTTGGCGATAAGATTCAATATCCATTGTTATTTGTTCAGCATCTTCACGTGGTGGTAATGCAGATGTCGGTGGTTTTAATGACATTGAGCGTGTAGATAATCTTCTACAATATCCAAAAACAAAACCAAATAAACTTATGTCAGGGTTAAACTTGAAAGATATTCAATTACATATGAAATAAATTGAGAACAGAATCTCTTAACGATTCGGAGTACTCGGCAATAGAATCAAAAAAAAAGTAACGAGATATTGTTTGCATATAAAATGAATTGAATTTAATAACTCATCAGGGTCATAACAGGGATCGTTTTTCAAAAGGAAAATTTTGATCTGAAAATTTCCCCGTACATTCGTCAGCAAAAAGAATGCTTTTTTCTCAAGATAATTACTTTTCAAGAAAAGTCGATTTTCATGATATGCAGTATCTTGAGGGTGTTTCTTGTGGACTTCACATCACAAAAGAGAAGCATTTATTCTTTGACTGTTCGATAAATCTCTTGTTCTACTCTCACTGGATCGCACTTAAGAGAAAAAATACCTCAGCACAAAACGGCTCTGAATCACATGAGGTAGCTCCCCCTTAGGAAATGTATTTTTCATCTTATTTAATTTGTAACTTAATACCTTTGAGTATGACAGTGATATTAGAAGAAAAAAAACATTCAATTATCTTACCGATTATGTTCACTATCAACAATATTGTCCATTCGATTACTTAATTGAGTTAATTCATCAAGTGATTCCCTAAGACTAGCATTCATTTTATCAGCTGTTGAACATTTTACTACAGACGATGATCGATTTTCTTTTGATACGGTTTGAAATAGTGGAATATTTGGTTTTATTATTGTAGTTGATGTTATCATGGTTGGTTTTTTATTTGTTTCAATAGATAATGATGCAGATGATAATGAATCTGTTCGATCGCTTAAATAGAAAAATAAAATTTCTTTTTCTATATTTAAAAATATATCTTTATTTTACTTTTTACTAGCAGATTCAAGTGTTAATGTATCATCATAATCACATATTAAATCATCCGATTTTAGACTACAATTATCATCATCAAGAAATGAATCATTATTTAATACATCAGATACATTGGATGATGATGATAATGTACTAGAAACACGTTGTCGATTTGCTTGAGAGGATTGGGCAGATGGTAAACGGTTCGCAGGTACTGTTACACTTGCATAAGCAGAATCGCCGTGTGAAGAATATACTTGTTGAGATGATTCAGTTTTTAAATCATTACTCTATTTAGAAAAAAAAAAAAACAAGAATCATTAAGTATTTTCCTATTGGTGGAAAAAAAATAGTTTTGTTTTTTACTTGATTATCGTTTGGAATGTTTGTTATTTGTTCATCAGTTGATGATTGTTCATTTTTTTCTTCTCTAATTACTGATGGAGACTTAAGTGTAGTTGGTATTGAAGTACGTCGAGTAAAAAAATTCATACGTTTTTGATTTTTATATCGATCACGAATAACATCAACATTTGTTTTTGTAGGCAGAACAGAAGAAGTAGATATAGATGGTGATGTTGTTGAAACTTGTGAAGGTATATTTGAACGTGATCGATTAGTTGTTGTTAATTTTGATGTTGATGAATCTTTATTATGATTATTATGAGAAGAATGAACTGTTTTAGATTTTAATATATTAGTAGTAGTCGAAGAAGAAGCAACAGATCGATTTGATGTTGGTTTTGGTATTTTTTGAGTTTTAGTTACACGTTGAGAAACAGTTGTTGATGAAGAATTAGCACTAACTGTTGATGATGATGGGCTAATTGAACGACTACGAGCTATAAGTGATGACGCTTGTATTTGTTGTAAACCGGGTGCTATTGGTCGGGGTATAAAACCAAAACGAGGTTGTGTGCTATGTTGTATAGATGATGTCAGTGGTGCACGATTTGCCATCGATATTGGTTGAGAGAAACCTGTAAATTTAACAGAATAACAATTCTAAGAACAATTGTTGAACAATGAATGTCAGAGTAAAATTCATCAAGAAAAAAAAAAAAAAAAAAAGAAAATGTCGATTGATAAACACTAACCTTTATATGCATTCTTGTTCTTTCTTTTAATGTCATCGTTCTTCGATAAGGAAGCATAGCAGTAAAAAAAAAATGGAAGAAGGGGACAACAGAAAAAAAAACAGCATGGAAGACAAAAGAAAAGCAAAAAAAACCGTTCGTGACTGTCGATGACAAGATGCAGAATTAACTTTTTTTTCTTTTTTATGAGTCATACACTAGCTTCAACAGAAATTGAAGCAATGAATAACGGCTAGAATAAAGCATTACCTGTCTGATTAGGAATATTAAATGTAGTAGTCACATTTTTAAATCGTACAGTACTTATTGATGATGATTGTGATTGATGAATAGATAATCGAGCTTTGGCTACTGGAATACGTGTTGGAACATGTGATGTAATAGATGACGATGAAATCCAACTATTTCTATTAGAATTATTATTCTTATTCATATTAGGTGAATATAAATGTATTAAACTGTTTGTATTAATTGAATGACAGATAGATTCTTGTAAAGAAGATGATTGAACATCAAAATTAGATAATAAAGAATTAGGACGTTGAGATTGCTGATTTGGAAATAGAGGCAATGGTAATGACGAATTTTTTTTATTGTCAAATGTAGTTGAGTTCTTTAATGCTATTCGTTTATGCAGTTGTTGATGATCTTTTTGTCGATGTTTTGTAGTTGATGTGTAAGAACCCATCATCAACCTATTTTATAGAACAAGAAGAAGAAGAGAGAGAGAGAAAAAAAAACGAAAAAAAGAAAATTTGACTAACAGTTGTTACATTAATTTGCATAGAATCTTTGTTTTTCTTTTTTTCTCAATTCAAACTTTTACTTTTCATATAATACATTTATTTTCAGATAATAGATAATTTGAAAATTTTCATATGCTCAAAAATATTTTAATCAATGTTTTTCAATTCGAATTTTGATTTATTTAATTTTTCAGCCTTGATACATACTCAAATCGTTTGAATGTTTAGTAAGAAAAAATTACAATATGCATATATACGCATGTACACACGCATATATATATATATATATGAAGTGAGAGAATATTGCTTAAGAACAGAAAGCGAAAAGTAGTTATTTGAATTCCCTCATCGCTTAGTCTCATATAATTGAAAATCGTTTATGTCAACAATAAGAATTGCTTTTATGATGCATCGCATTTCAAGTGAGATACAGCAAATGCTGTACATTATAGATATGTAATTCACAATATTCGTTTAAAAAAAAAACAAGAATAACTTGAAAATATAAAGAAGAAAAAACAATAGCTGTAAGCGATTAAATACCTTGAATTTTGCAATATCGTACATGTCCTTGTTGTTTATCTTTATCAAGAAAGTATCTAACGAAGACAAATATAAGATTTTGTCATACATAAATAATATAGAGACGCATTGGGCATGCATCATCATATCATTGAAGAAAAAAAAAAAAAAAACAGAAAAGAAAAGTGTAATGCATAGAAGAGGTATAGTTGATTCGTTGGGAGAGACAAACAAAACGAAACGATGGTGTGTCCTTAATATTTTCTCTTTTTTTTCTAAACGCTATAGAAGAAAGTTAAAAAAAAGTGACAAAACGAATAAGATACTAATAACGATATTATCACTGTCATGCGATAAACGAAAAAAAAAAAACAGAAAACAAAAAAACATGATGATTTAATTAAACTCAATAAAAATAGTTATTCTAATTTGACATTATCATTAATTAATGATTGATATCTTACGCGAATTGTTTAATTATAATGACCTCAAGAAAAAAATATATTCGTATATTGCTTTCTATACGATGATAGACAGATAGTAGTCAATCAAAAAGAATATGCTTTCGTTTAGATGCATTGCACCAACTGATTTTTATGGATCTAAATATAAGCAACCTTGTATTTCTATTCAAACGAACCATGAAATGAGTTTTTAAATGTATGTATTGACAAAAAGAAAAAAGTCAAGTAAGACTCAATTAGATCAAAATAAAGCAATAAACTTACCGATTTAGTTCTGTCAATATAAATATGTTCAACTAAGAATTCATTACGTTATTCAAAATCTATCGGTTATACATTTGATAAAAACAAAATGAAAGATTGAACGTTGTCAATATTAAATGAAACGATACCAAGATCAATACACGACTTTTGTCAGATGATACGAATGTGTCGAGATGTCTGTCTTGTTTGCATTGTGTTTACATATGAAAATCAATCCGTAATGCAATATTCAATTTGAATAGAATACTACGAGTAAAGCAAAATGTTAATGCATGAAACCAGAAAAAGAAAGTGATGGGATATTGATTGTAGTAAGAATGTAGCCATTGTCGAAGTGATATTGTAGGGCAAGCATCAATACAATGAATGAGTGTTTGAGTGAGTATAAGAATATGTATATATATATACAAAGAAACCGAACCAACAAAGTGTAAGATATAGTGACGAAAAGGAGAAGAAAAGAAATGATGAAGTGTTTTGATGATATGTATGTGAAAGTAATTAAAGACGAAAATGGCAAAAAGTGAGTGTGAAGTGATGGACAAAGGTCATGTATAAAGACACGCACATATAAAATGAGTCAATCAAGAGTTTATCTGATGTCTATATGAATGAAGTCTATGAAAGCTTTTATTTGGTGATAATCAAAGAAAACAAGCGAAATACAAAGGGGTCATTATCTATGAGCGTAAGAGAAAATGGAATGATTAAGAATAATAAAACTTAATCTTAATTACATAGTTCTCGGTAGGTATTTAGATTGATTATTAAGATGTAAATTAATACTCATTATTTATCTTGATTGATTATATATTTATTATTGCAAAAGTAAATTCAAATAAAAAAAAAAAGAAAAACATTAGCAAAGATTTTATTTAATAACTTTTTGTATAAAACTTATTAAAATATTTTGTTCGTAACATTTAAACGGTCGATAAAATGAATTGTTCGAATAGTTTATATATATGATTATAATATGGATGAATATAGTAATTATATTGAAAGATAGATAAAGATTCAAAATATCATTTTTTCTTGATAATTACACGATCATCATTAAATCAAAATAAGGTTTTAGTCGTAAATGAATTCAACATTTTCTAATCGTCTTTTTTGAGTATCATTCGTAATGTGTAGTATCAATGTGATTCAAGAAGCATTTGATTTGATAAAGAGAGTTCGATGGGTTTGGCATTGAAGATTATCAAGTTTTACTCATTGTCTAAATCGAGTGAAATCATTATGATCTTGCATAAAATATCTTTTTCATCATCTGCATTGGTTTTGCTTTCTCCATAGATAATATTAGAGAATTGAGATCTAATGTAAAGTTCATCAAAAAGAAAAGATTAATTGATCTAGATTGTCTATTTTTCATGATAAATTTTTTCTGGTTTATTTTTTTTAGATAATTTCTTTTGATTAAATAATTGAAATTAAACATTTTGAGAACTGAAATTTTCGATTGATAACAGAACTGAGTAATTTATAAAGTTTAATGTTAAACTTGAAATAAATCTGCAAGCATTATGAGTTTTTATTTCTTATCTATTAAGGCACCCCCCCCCCCTCCAAAATCGATTTTCGTTACAGTGCATCGGACTTGCCTGAAACTTTCCACAAATATTGGGCATATCAGAGTAAAGTTACGAAACTTTTTTTACTTTTCTAAACCTCAGCGTTCAGGAGTTTTCCAGAGATCAAGACCATAAATGGGCCCTCTGGCAGTACAAACTTTTTTTCACTATACTTCAACGGACTGAATCGGGGATTGTTTTATTTGAAGAAGAACTGTTTACCGCTTGGACTAAGGGAAAGAGATTTTTAAAATTTTCCTTTGTTCAATTTAGGGACGTCCAAAACCCCAAAATTCTGAAAATCTTACCCCAACGCTTTTAAAAAACCCTGGATTTCTCTCAGATTGACGATTAAATAAAAAATCCCTTCCCATCATCCGAAGCAGTACACATGTATGTATCGACTAAAAAAAACCGCAGCTCGCTAGGATGAAGAATATTGAAAAAAAATTTGTTCTGCTGTCGATATTTAGCATAAAAATTCGTTTTGAGAAAATTGATAAACAAAGTGAAAATTATTTTTAAGCCATTTTTGGGAAACAAAGAATTCTAAAGGATTTCTAGAAATCTGACATTGCCATTACATCAAACATGGAGACAAACATGTATAATCAAAATTTTAGAATTTTCGGTCATCAGGTAAAGAAGAGAGAAGATTTTCGATCGCTGAGACAAACATCAAAATAGGTGTCCCCATTCGGCAAAAACTTTTGTAACTCATTCTAGGTATCAAATTTTATTCTGAAAATTTGGATACTATGGTAACTTGGCACGCTGAATACGATAGTGATTTAGGTTTTCTATAAAAATTCTAAAAATCGGGAACGGTCTCCTGAAAGCCTAAAAAAGTACTGGCTAGCTACAAAAAATGATTGAGAACGGCCAAAAACCACTCATATCCTAAAACCAAAGACATGCACTGAAAGAGGAGAGTTCAGTGCATCATCCTTCAACAAAAACTCAATTTTGAAATTTTTTCAAAAAATCTAATTTTTGGAGGGGGGAGATGCCTTAAACAAATGAAATTACTTTTATCGATTAATCCATAATTTATTTTATAAGATATTAAAAAAGACGATATACAGTCGGTGACAAGAATCCAACAGTTAGACTTTTATTACTGAATATAGACTAATAAAAAAATTTCAAATAAATCCAATGATCTATTTAATCTTCATTGACGATGCAATCACAAGATATCCTTTTTCATTCTTTCAAAAGTATCTAACAACTTATTGTTGTAAAGTTACTTTTTTTCTACCGTAGCTTTTCTTTGAGTAGGATTAAAAAATAAAAGAAGGCTTTTTTGACCCATAAAGAAAAATTTTCAACGAAAAAAACTGATATAAGACAATTTTCTTGTATAATGTTTTGCTAATTTTATTCTTCAATATATTCATTAGCAAAAGCACTACAAACTGCATCGGACTCTCTATTTGAAAAGATATTTCATACTGGAAAATTATTTTAGTCGTCTTCCATGTATACACCAATCACAGATAGATGTTCTAGTATAATCTTATTCAGGCATCAAAGAAAGTAAAAATTGTTTTACTTATATACCTTTGTTACGCTATGAATAACACAAGTAAAAAGCTTACTGTAGCCCTAGCAGTAGCCTAAGTGCATATTTCACTAAATATATATCAAATGTTTTACGTGGTACGTCTTTGTAGATAGAGGATGAAATTTAGAACAACACTCAATGTTAAATTTAATTTGATACATTTTCGTTTGGTGAAATACATATTCACTCTTTTGCTAAGACTGCAATAAGCTTTTTACAACACTATCACATTTTCGTCATGACTTTATTAACAACATTGATATCTACTGATAACATCTAATATGAGTTGTTCTTTACAATAAAATAGGTCCATTATAAATTTCTCAATGTCGTTGAGAATAATAATAGTTGGCCGAAATTTATAGTTGGTAAAGTGAGAAGAATAAATGTATACAGTGGATAACCGGACCACACTGAGTTCAGAAGGATAAAAATAATCACTTGCATAAATAGTAGTTATCGAACGTTGTTGCTGAGTTAATTCGCCTGCAATTCTTTCTGATGGATGAACTCGTCTTGTCAGTTTCGCACGAATATTGAATAACGTG